GTCCAAATCGATTGCACCATATGCGCACTGATCTGAAACGACGTAGTTTGCATTGCAACTTTCGATGAGTCTGAACATGATTCCTTCAAAAGCCCATGCAAGACTTCCCGCTGGGTTTTCAACAAGAAAATACCGACCTCTGACATGCCTGTGCTTGCAAACACGAACAACCAAAAGGAGTGCGCGTTTCCCGACCCCCTCTCGTAGAGATTGCAACTTGTCCCAGGAACCGTCAATGTCTTTCAACATATTCATCAACAAGCTCCAAAGTCGGCAATCAAATGCAACAACTGTCAAAAACGGGTCGTGCATGTCGAGGGTCCTCCAAAGCAACTCTTCTCCCTTCTGGGTGCAAAGGTCGTACCATCAAGGATATCCAGGGGTTGCGAACATGTCCAGGAAAACTCTGAACTTGCCATCTTGGTGATGCCAAACGATCCTCCCCAAGGCTCGAAAACAACTGTTGTAGTGAACTGCTTAGTTGCTAACTGTTCTGCCTTAGTGAAGCTACGATGTAAAGCAAACCAAGTGCGTCTGTCCAAAGCCCTCTGTGTCTTGCTAGCTTTCTCAAGTTCATTGACCCTGCGCTTCGAAATCTCACCTCTTTTGTCGGAAAGGTGAATGCCTCGAGGTCCAACTTTCAAAACCTGCTCATGCTTCAAGCTGACGGCCTCATTGGCCGGCGTCTCAAAATATTCCCCGTCGAAGATCTGGTAGGATGCCTCTTCAACAAGGTACAAGTAAAGGTCATCATTCCTCGACTTGCAAAGCGGCTCACTTCCAAACTCATCTTCAGAAATTGCCATGCTGCCGGTCAGGTCTAAGGCCAAATGCTTGGTGCGGGTTTTGATCATAGGAACCTTCACATCTAATGATCCAATGAGAACCATTCGCTCTTTCATGAACAACGTCATGCCCAAAGCTTCCATTGCAGAAATCGACAAAAGCAAAGGTGTGGTGCCTGTCTCTATCTCAGCACTCATGATGGCTCCGGGGCGGCCACCAATGACAACAGGAATCTTCCACACATTGACTTGGCCAGAAGTCGAAGATCCATCTGCAAAATGAAAGGTCTTGAGGTTAGACGTTTTCTCACATCCTTGCCCAGCTGAAAGGTGACGCTCATACGCCACACGCCAGGCCTTGGAGTGCATGCAGGAAGTGCATGCGGTGTCAAGCAAACAAATGCGGCTTTCATCGAGTTCTCCAGGTGCTTCACCAATTTGGTGATGTTGCTGGCGTGTCTCTGAAGGGACAACTTCTTCATCTTTCTCTGCAGCTGGAGGCTCTATCGAATTCTCAGTCCGGCGGCCCGCAGTGACATTGGGCTCAAGGTCATTTCCTGAATTCTCATGCACCATTTCATGATCGACTGCAAAGGCAAAATGCCTGTCGAATGCAATCGATCCCACTCTTCTCTCATGCCAACTAGCCGCGCCGTGCGGCAATGGCTGCTGCACGCTGGGCCTGCTCATAGCCCTCCTCCTGTCGCATGGTGAATCGACAATTGGTCTTGCCGAACATTGTGCAGCCGAAGAAGAGATTTCCCGATGTCCTGTTCTGTCGGAGGCATAGAGGCTGGTTGCACACTGCGCAAGGAACACCAGGCAAAATCTCGCCCACTCGCAAAGGTGACGATGTGAGGCCACCATGCGCAATCTTCGATGTCTGCTGAGAAGTCGTGGTAGTGGTTGGCGATCGAGTGCCTGAAATCCTTCCCATTCGCTCCAAGTCTTCCAGAATTGGTGCAGCTCGTCCACTCCGAAACATCCGCTCCTCTGAAGGTGGTGTGCCGAGAGAGCGAAAGAAACGAGCTTCTGACTCTGGCGATGGGCTTGTCGGAGAGGTCTCCTGAGACATGTAGGCTCGCTCATTCTGCTGGACTTGCTTCTGTGGTGGAGCCTTGGCCGATGACTTGGCCTCTAGCTTCGCGGCAACGGACGAAGATGGGCCCGCACCTGATCCAGACTTGCGAGAAGTCAAAGGGACAACATTTTCCGACTTCGAATGCACAAGCCTGCCATATTCGTCCAGGGTGCCTTGCTCAAGCTGAACGAATTGTTTGCTGCAGCCTTTCCTCTGGATGGGCTCACCATTGTAGAAGGCTTCCAACCTGGCCTGAAGTTCATCTTTCTTTCCACTGACCTTGAGGTCATACTTTGAGCACTCTTCTTGCAACTGACGAACATTGAACTTGCTCAAATCAGGCTTCAGAACATCAAGGTTGGCCACCTGAGTGACATTGATGTGAGCATCACGAACAAGGACTGGCATCTGGCGCTGCAAACGTGCGTTCGGCAGCTGAGGCATGTAATCCTCAGGCCTCTCAAGCTCTGGGAATAGGACTTCCGGAGCTGGCATGGGCATCGTCATGTCATTGTAGCCAGGAGCAACTCGAGACCAGCTTGAATCTGATCCAACCGAGGCGGCATAGGTAGGAGTCTTCCGCTTGTCATCCAACTCCGTCCAACCTGCATCCTGCTCCATCTGCCCTTGCTCATCCTCCTCCTTGTGGTGGATCATGAAGGCGGAAGCTTCATCGTCATCGGAGAGTCCGAGATTGAAATACAAAGGCTCGTCTGCTGCAGCGTAGGCTCGCTGCTTGTTCTTTCCGCGGCCTTTGCCCTTGGACTTCCCACCACGGTATGGTCCTCCACGGCTTGCCTTGCTGCAGGCAGAGTCGCCTGCCCAATGGCCGAGACGGCCACATGCCGAACATCTCGTCCTTGCTTTCTCCCGCTCAATGGCTGCTTTGCGACTGTCATCACCATTTTGGTCAGGCTTGTTGTGATTGCCTTTGAAAAAGCCACGTGACTTCTGTGTCTCACGGAGTTTGCGGCGTGAGTCTTGATAGGTGCGCCGCTGTTTCTCCATTGCAGCATAGGCTTCATAGATCTCATCGTCATCTGAGGCTCCATAATCCGACGGCTCATTGGCATTGCCGTCTGCTGCATCCAGCTCGAAGTCACCTGATACAAAGGCTTCATCGACAACAACGTCGGCATTCTCATCAATGGGGTCATAGTCAGGCTCGTCGAACTCTTCAATGGGATCCTCCTCTTCAATCATATGGGCATAGTTTCGACGGAATTTGCCTGAGCCCTTGCGGTGATCTGACATCTGGCGGGTGCGCTCCCTTTCATGAACGTCATGGAAACTCACCCTCATGGACTTCTCGATGGCATCCAAATTGTACTCTGATCCGCTATTCAGCAAAATCTGTCGTCGTTCTTCTCGAGAAAGTCCACATTGCTTCAAGATGAAATATGCCAGCAAATCATCACTCATCTTGGTTTGGTCATCCAAGTCCTGCAAATCATACCAGTCTTGACGGCGGCTTCGGAGGTAAATGTCAAGAGCTTGTCCGCGCTTGCGGAAGCCTTTCTCAAAGAACTGGTCGAACTGCTCGGTCTTCTTCACAATCGTGACCTTCTCGATGGACTGCAGGCATCTGAATACCTCTTTGTATCCATCTTCCTTGGTGAGTTTGTCCTGATCCTCGAGAAGGGACTGACAGCATCTCCAGGCTTCTCCATGGAGGGCATTCAAGAGCTTGGGTCCAAACCGCTTCTTCTTCTTGCTCAAATCACGGGCTTCTTTCTCTGGGGTGTCTCCCTCGCCTTCAAGCATTCGATAGGCGAAGATCACTCGCTTGCGGTACTCCTTCATGAGCTCAGGTCGATGGCCGGTGAAATGAGGAATGCCGTCTTTGTCCATCACTATTTCATCATCTTTCCAAAATGGGGTTCCAGGCATCTGCACATTAGCCATGGCGCGGTCACAAAAGCTCCGCTACCAGTGCGGAATGCGCAACTGGTAGCAAAGCGGGCACCGACGGACCTTTTCACTCTAAGGTGAACGAAGGTATGTGAAACAAAAGCATTGAACGTGTTCTGCCTCCTTATGCTGCTTCTGGTACTCTTCTCTGTTTTGTGCGTGTCATCCTAAGCCGGCTGGGCCGATCGAGCTCTGGGGCCATGCTTGCATGGATCACGCGGCCGTGGTCTCTTGGGCCGGGCCATGGCCTCGAAAGCACGAAAGCTCGAAACAACCTGCTGAGGCATTTCCAATGGAGATTCTCACACCTTTTGCTTTTTCCTTGTCTCTCTGTGGGCTTTCCTGAAACCCTCTCTTGAATAGTGCCCTCAAGGCACGGCATTCTGTAGTCAAGACATCAAGGGAGATGCGGAACCTATTCTATTTTCAGTGAAATAGATGCGCTGCTTGCAAAACTCAGAACCTAGATCCTTCAAACTAAGGACCTCTTGCTCAGATTTCTTCAGGCCCCTCCAAAGTCCCTCATTTGTGTTCTTCAATTCTATGCTCAAGAACGAAAGGCACAATTTTCAGTGGAAAACTGAGAGCCTAAATCCTTCAAACTAAGGACCTGTTGCTCAAATTTCTTCAGGCCTCTCCAAAGTCCCTCATTCGCTTTTCTTCAATTCTATGCTCAAGAACGAAAGGCGCATGTTCCAGCAGCTGCAAGAACTGATCCAAGGACGTCGGCGGTGGCAAGCCGATTAAGTTCCATTGAGGGCAGTGGATTCCGGACTTCTGCTCACGAGTAAACTCACACACCTCGGCTCCTGTGAATGATACCTGCTTCTTGTTCTTCAGAGAGTCCACAGAGCTACTACACATGCTCTGAAGCGCGTTGTGCAGACAAAGATCTTGATTCTCGACAAGCTCGAAGCCATGATCAGGAATGCTGCACTTGCATCCCATGGCAAACTATGGCTTTACTGAATGGCTAAGCGGACTGAAAGACTTCTGGAGCCGGAGATCTGACGAGAACAACATTCCACCAGGACGGCGGCTTGACGGAAAAGCAACCTACAAGTACAACAGTGAATCGCACGAACCAACTCTCAAAGCTCCAATGACCCCCAGCAAGCAGGTTTAGTCAGGGGGATCACAAAATTGCACCCCCTCACTGCCTAGTCTTCCGAGGTGGTTCTTCCCACAAGCAGGCGAAGCCTCCCCCCTGCTTTCCAGCGATCCTTCTTGGGGGAGCTCGAGGAGTCTTTGCGTGACAGCTTGGGAGAACGAGTCGTTGGAGTCTCCGCCTCTAGATTCTTCACCTTCCCGAGAGCCGAGACGGGCGAGAAGGGCATCGGCCCGAGGTCCCATGTCGCAACTGTTGAAATGTCCAAACCTCTGGAAGTTGGGTACTGCATGACCAGACAGCCGTGCAGTACCCTTGCCTATGTTCCTTTAGCAGGCAGATCCAGTATGCACTCTACATGTTGATAACAATGCTCGTATGAGCAACAAGTCTTTACTTTCCACCTGGCCTCAACTTTGCTGTCGAACGAGACAGCTCGCTTTGAAGAACCTCGCCAGTGATTTCACCAGAACGTCTTAACGCCCCACTCATCAGTTTTGCAAAAGAACAACACACAGTTCTGAGGCTGAGAACAGCATGCAAAGAGCCACACACACACACAAACACTAGAGGGTCTGAACTCCAGTTGCACCAGTCCCGCAGGCTTGCATCTACAGCAAAGACTTTTCTTTCTGAACTCCAGCACATCAATCAAACTTCTTCACTCACTGGGCTCCAAGCCCTGCTCTTTGACCTCCTCTGGTGAGCGCCCCCGTCGCGGCCTCAGACTCCACGAGAAGTCAGGCTGCACAAAAATATATTGTGCAGAAGTCATGACTCCATCGTTTTGGACAGGACATGGCAGTTGCAGGCTCAACAAAAGCAAATGATCCAAGTCCAAATGACTAAGACGGCAGATGATCAAAAGTCTTTCCGAAACGAACCTGTTCGTCCGACCTCGTCTTCTGGAACACATTGGGGCCGAAAATAGGCTTCATGGGACCGAAACGCGTCCAGCTTCGCTTCCAGCCGTCGGTGTCCTCCGTTTTGGGCCCAGCGACTTCAAAGAACTCGAGAACGACGAGGCGGAATCCTCCGCTGCAGTGGTGCCTCAGAGCGACGTGGGTCCCGATTTGGGGAGCCCAAAAACGGAGTGGAGGGAAACCCTTTACAAAAAAGCTGATCAATGGCCTTTACATTTGGTCCAAAGATGCTGTTGATGACACGGGAAGATGTTTCACCTCATGGTTTGATGTGTTTGAATGCCTCAAGGTCAGATAAGGAAGATCACCTTCGGATTGGTGCGGCAAAATCTAGCTCCAACTCTCAGAGGTTCTCAGCCTCAGCCTCAGCCTCAACTCAGCTCAGCTCAGCTCGCAACTCTCTTCCGAAGCCCGCTTCTCTGCAGCTCCTCAGGGGAAGTGCTTTTCACTCCAGCTCCCAGTAGTGGCAAAACTGAACACCTCGACACTGTTCTGTAAGCAGTGGATTCCTCCTAGCAAGAAGTGAAACTGATGCGCTCATCCACTCACCCACTCACCCACTCATCCCAAGACCTGCACCCCTCCTCTTTCATCTTCCAACCTCTTCCAACATGAACGCTCTTCGAAGGACTCATCAATCTTGGCCTTGAAGCATGCTAAAGGTTCTAGCGGTGCTAGTCCAGAGCAAGAACCTCATCCCCATCCTCCACCCTCTTCGTCCCGTTTCAGTCCTCGTGCCGCGGTGCCCACCGTCTGCACCCACTCGCGGCGCAGCACCCGCAAGCGCTCCTCCGTGCTCGGCGAGTCGCCGGCCTCGTCGGAGGAGATCCTTGGTGGAGATCTGCCCTTCTCGGCTCGTCTCGCAGCGGATGGCTTCATAGTGGATGTCTCAGTGACCTTCAAAAAATGTTTTAAGAAATATAGATGTTCTTTTTGTCAAGACTTGTGCTCTGTGTAGGTGCCCAGGCAAATTGCGTTTTTTTTGGGATTTGTGCCGGGTCACTGCTTACTCAACGTCTCGCTGTGCTCGACGGGCACTTTGGGCAACTTCACAAAAGAGAGTTTTGCCTGTCCAAAACGGCTGGGGCACAGGGTCTGCCTGACGGACTTGTTGGTGGACCTTCGACGAGTTGGTGACGGCAGAACAGCCCATAAATAGGCCACCCAAATCAAAATGCTCAATGTTTCTTAGGCCACAGCATGCCACAGCTCGAGGTTGTGCCTAAACCTACTGAAGAAAGAGTCCAATCTGGTCATCTCAAGCTGATTCTTCAAGCGCCGCGTTCCCTTCATGGCCTTGTTCTCGGCATCATCACAGGTTGAGACGTCGGCTTCCCCCGCAGAGGTCTCTAAGATCTCCCCATGTGGCATGGCCTGGAGGAAAAAGATCTCAGCTCTGAAGGACACTTGTATGGACGGGACGAGTCCCCGGCAAGGACGAGGATTCCGACCCTTCCCAAAAAATGATTAGACACTCCATGAGTGGACCGAAACATTTGACTTCAGGGTTCCTGGGAGTTGAGGAATTTTAACAAACATTACTAGGGTGGAGGCCATCGCTACTAGGGTGGAGGCCATCGCTACTAGGGTGGAGGCCATAGCTACTAGTGGAGGCCATCGCTACTAGGGTGGAGGCCATAGCTACTAGTGGAGGCCATCGCTACTGGGGTGGAGGCCATCGCTACTACGGTGGAGGCCATCACTACTAGGGTGGAGGCCATCACTACTAGGGTGGAGGCCATAGCTACTAGGGTGGAGGCCATCGCTACTGGGGTGGAGGCCATCGCTACTACGGTGGAGGCCATCGCTACTAGGGTGGAGGCCATAGCTACTAGGGTGGAGGCCATCGCTACTGGGGTGGAGGCCGTCGCTACTACGGTGGAGGCCATCACTACTAGGGTGGAGGCCATCGCTACTAGGGTGGAGGCCATAGCTACTAGTGGAGGCCATCGCTACTGGGGTGGAGGCCATCGCTACTACGGTGGAGGCCATCACTACTAGGGTGGAGGCCATCGCTACTAGGGTGGAGGCCATAGCTACTAGGGTGGAGGCCATCGCTACTAGGGTGGAGGCCATAGCTACTTATAGGCTGGAGGGCATCGCTACTGGGGTGGAGGCCATCGCTACTACGGTGGAGGCCATCACTACTAGGGTGGAGGCCATCGCTACTAGGGTGGAGGCCATCGCTACTAGGGTGGAGGCCATAGCTACTAGGGTGGAGGCCATCGCTACTGGGGTGGAGGCCAACGCTACTGGGGTGGAGGCCATCGCTACTACGGTGGAGGCCATCACTACTAGGGTGGAGGCCGCTACTGGGTGGAGGCCATCGCTACCGGGATGGAGGCCATCGCTACTACGGTGGAGGCCATCACTACTAGGGTGGAGGCCGCTACTAGGGTGGAGGCCGCTACTAGGGTGGAGGCCATCGCTACTAGGGTGGAGGCCATCGCTACTAGGGTGGAGGCCATCGCTACTCCATCACTACTACGGTGGAGGCCATCACTACTAGGGTGGAGGCCATCGCTACTAGGGTGGAGGCCATAGCTACTGGGGTGGAGGCCATCGCTACTACGGTGGAGGCCATCACTACTAGGGTGGAGGCAATCACTACTAGGGTGGAGGCCGCTACTAGGGTGGAGGCCATCGCTACTACGGTGGAGGCCATCACTACTAGGGTGGAGGCCATAGCTACTAGGGTGGAGGCCATCGCTACTGGGGTGGAGGCCATCGCTACTGGGGTGGAGGCCATCACTACTAGGGTGGAGGCCATCACTACTAGGGTGGAGGCCGCTACTAGGGTGGAGGCCATCGCTACTGGGGTGGAGGCCATCGCTACTGGGGTGGAGGCCATCGCTACTGGGGTGGACGCCATCGCTACTACGGTGGAGGCCATCGCTACTAGGGTGGAGGCCAT